CAGGCGGCTCCTTGGAGGCAAGGATTCTGAGGCTCTGTCTAACATACTTTGGACATGTAAGGAGGGACTGATCCTTGGAGAGGGACACCACGCTTGGTAGGGTGGAGGGACAGCGCAGCAGGGGAAGGCCCTCTATGAGGTGGATTGATTCAGTGACTGGGGTAACTGGGATGGGACAGTGCGACTGGCACAGGACAGAGCAGAGTTTAGGGTTTTTGTACATAGGGTCGCTATGAGTTGCAAGCGACTCAACGGTACATAACACCACCACCACCACCACCACATTGGTTTGCCCTAAGTCAGAACCTATCCAACAGCAGCTAACAACATACATATACATACCTAAATACATATGTATATACTTGTACATGTATTATTAGTTGTTTTTTTTTTCATTTTTAAATTTATTTTATTTTTTTTTGTGTGAGTGTACCGTCAAATCTGATCTGACTGGTACAGGAGGAGATTGTCTCTCCTTCCCCGGCAGAGCATCTGGTGGATTCGAACCGTGCGCCTCTGGGATTGTAGTTGCTGCTCCTTTCCACTAGTCCACCAGAGCTCCCCTTAGTTGTTTTTACTGTTGCGTAAATATTATATATGACATAACAATTATCAACAGGAAATCCCATCAGGCCATTCTATTCTGTTCTATAGGGTCATTATGAGTTAGAATCAATGACAGTGAGTTTACACTCTAAATCACAATGGTCTAGTCTGAAAGCAATCAAAAAATGTACAGGATATTCTATGACGTACAGACTCCCCATGAGTGGTGGTGGTGGCAAAAGAGTACTTAGTAGTGGCTAACCCCACCACTTAGGGAGATCTTCGTTCAAATTTGGACTGGCTCATCACTAATTAAAAGGCAAGAAATTCTTCTTGTCAAAACCAAAAAGGAAACAAAATATTTACATTATTCAGGCAATTAAATAGAGAGCATCCTAGATCTAGCTATTTTACAAGGCATTTTCCTTAGTTTCTTATAGTGAGGAAGGCAGAATGACTTAAATTGAGATTGTTTTTTCAATGAGAGAGGCATGTAAATTGCTATGTTGAACCAAAAATGTTCATCTGTGTCCAGCTAGTTCCAAGGACACATTTCATTCTAGGTGAATTACTGGAGGCAAAAAGATGATGTTTGAAAGTCTTATCAACTGGTTGTTGTTGTTTGATGCCTTCGAGGCTTAGACGACTCATAGTGACCCTATGAAAGAACGGCCTGAGCACTATTCGTACATAGAGTTTCCGGAGGCAAGCCATTTCAGAAGTGGATGCCACTCCTTTTGCTATATTAAGGTAAAAAGGGAAAGGCTTGCTTTGACTATCACAGGTAAACAAAACGATCAGCTGCCTTACTAGAGTCACAGCAAAGGTTTGGAGCTTTGTCTAAGACATATAGGTAAAGGGTGCTCTTCACAGAAAATGTCTACTAATACAAAGGGCATAAGATTTTTTTAAAAATTAATTTCAATTAACATTTACAGACTTTGGATTTCCATTCATTCATTATTGCATTTTTCTCTCTGCCCACCTCTGGCCCCCACCATTCGCTCCTGTCTTTGAAAAGCAAAAGGAAAATTTTCATTGTTATACAATCCCTCCCCCAAATGCATTCCACTATGCAGCCTTCATTCTCCTCATGATGATAATACCTAATCATATTTCTTAACCGCATCTCTTTAGTCGCTGGCTCAAGAAGCATTCACCCTCCTTAGGGTTTCATCACGTAATTTTTTGGAAGAAAATATCTGTACTTTTTTTTGTTTCTTCAGTTCTCCGCCCCCCTCCCCTTCTTGTACTTTTAATTTTTGGCCAAATGGCCAAAGAATGAAATTAAGTCATTCTTAAAAGGACGAGAAATGCCTACAAAGGCAGCACTTGCGCTTATGTAAGTGACGTAACTCATCACCTAGCTTTAATCTTTAAACTACCAATCCCAAAGATCACTGCGCTATTTCATTTCCTCAGCCGACCAAGGTTGGAAACAGTTCTTTCGTGAAGGGATCGGAGAGAACTGGCAGCGTGAAGTAAAAAAATAACATTTAGTGGTCTTGTTTTTCGAGGGTCAGTAGGTTCCGACTCCACAGCACGCAACAAAAAGATAAATACGCCAGACAAATTAATAAAGTTAGAACTAAGAAAAAGGTCATTCCGTAAGAGCCCAAACAGTTCCAGGTAAACAGTACTTCACTGAAACTCTAGAGCTCGCCCAATTTTCCCAGCATGCCCCTTTCCGTCAAGGCTTACGTCATCGCCGTGGAGTCTTATTAGCTAGCTGACTGGCAGCGCCTGCGCACTGAATTCCTTTGAGGCGCAAGGGCTGCCGCCATTTTGGTTCCAGAGGTGCTTCTGGGAACTAAGACGCAATCCTTACGCTGGTCAGCCTCCGCTCGAAACGTTTACTTTGTGCTGTCTTGCTCTCTCTCTCTCTCTCTCTCTCTCTCTCTCTCTCTCTCTCTCAAACCTTTAGTCGGTCAGAAGGCGCAGCGCTGCGCCATCTAAGGACATCACAGCACGGAAGAGTGACGGGGGCGGTGCGGGGTGCGGACACTCCCCGCAGAGAACCTGCCCATCATGGACTCGGAGTATTACGCGGGCGACCAGTCAGGTGGGGCAGTGGCCTGGGGTGAGGATGGGCGGGAGGGTCTGTGGCTAGGGGCGGAGCTGGCTTTGGGCTGGCTCTACCCTTGCTCCAGCGCGGCGTGGGGATGCGGGCGTTCTCTTTCCGGTCGTGCGTGAAGGCGTTTGGTGGCATAGTCCTCAAAGCCAGACCTCGGAATTTTGGAGGGGGAAAGCTGATTTCTGGATCAGCGAAGGTCTGCGGTGAAATGAAATGTTGATTAAGAAATGTTTGAATATTGTTTTTAGAGTGGAAGTGGTAGAAGCTAACCTTCTCTAAGTTAGGGCGTTTTCAGAAGTTGGGTGTTGTCAGAGGGGTTGGGATACCACCAAACCTAAACATTTGTATGCGGTTGAGTCGAGTTCACTTTGTCCTGTGAAGCTGTCATGACGCGGTGGAGCAGGAAACGACTCACCGTTGACTCTCCCGCGGGTTTTCAGGAGGTGGCGAATCCTTCTCTCGAGGAGCTGCAGATGGGTTTACGTCGCCAGAGAGGCACTGCCTTTGGGGTAGCAGCGCGATTTTCTGTGGACTAAGTCAGCAGAACTGCCTCCTCCAAAACTCAACTCAGGCTTATTGCCTTGGAGTGGAAACGGACTCATCGCTGACCCTTCAGCGGGTTTTAGGAGGCTTCAATAACGCGAGAGGACGTTTGCTGGCTCTCCCACGGTGGCCAGTGGATTCGAGCTGCCAGAGAGATAAACTACTGTTGGCTTAGCTATACAGTTCTGTGCAAAGTAACCAAGACTTGTTGTTTGGTGCCCATTGAGTAAAGTACACCTCATAACAACCCTATGAACAACAAATCAGAACCTGTTTTATCCTGTGCTGCCCTCATCAACTCTCACACACTTGAGCTCATTGCTGCAGTAACTGTCATTCTGTCCCATTGAGGATTTTCCTCTCCTTTACTGACCCTTCACCTTTCCAAACCTGATGTCCCATTCCAAGGAATATCCCTAAAGTATGTGAGATGAGCATTCATCTTTATCCTTGTCTACACGGAGCACTAAAACTCCACTTTTCTCCAAGACTTAATACTCAAAGGCATTATTTTTTCTGTCATTCGTTGTCCTCTCAGATGCATAGCAGATATTTGAAAAAAGATTTGCATCAGGGCTATGCCAGTCTGTAGACTGACATTATTACTCCTTAGTAATTTGGGAAGGTCCCTGACTTTTTCAGTGTAGTAGATCTCCTGAGTGCTGGTACCAAGGGACTGATTGGTTATGGATCCAAATTAAGAGGAAATAATTGACAATATCAATCATTTCTTCAACTGTCATGATGTTACCAGTTGTCCCAGTGGATTGAGTTTTTCTTAATGTGCTGTGATCCATATTGAAGGCTATAGTCGTCTTCTTGTTATGTGCCCTTGAGTCTCTTGTGACTCATAGTGACCCTCTGTACAACCACTCTGAACCCTACTCTTATTTTGAGCCAACCTTACTGTCTCTGACACACCTACTCCCATTATCCTAGTGTCTCAAGTCAATCCATCTTATCCGGGGTCATCCTCTCTTCTGCTGTTGTTCCTCCACCCTTTCAAGCATTATATCCCTTTTCAAGGACTCCTTAGCATGCCCAGAGTATGTCAGACAACACTTCGAAATCCTTGCCTTCAAGGAACAAACTAGTTTCACTCTGTCCGGGATGAACCTGTTTGTTCTCCTAGCAGTCCATGGTATATTCAGTTCTCTTCTCCAGCACCACAACTCCAAGGCGTCAATTCTTCTATCATCCTTAGTCAGGGCTGTACACCTTTTTCCACACCATTTAAATTGTATGCTGAGCAAATCATTTGAAGGTAGAATGTATGAAGAGGAATGTGATAGCAGCATCAGAGGAATACTTGCTTAAGTTATACTCCTACCCTCTTTCTGATTATTCAGTAAACTCTTATGAGCCAAGTTCTTGTGTGAGGTACTGTAGATACAAAGTTGATTTAAGTAGGGCCTAGTTATTTGTTTGTTTTATTGTTTGCTTCTATGGGTATGGTACTCAATCTGTCAATTTGCTGTACTGTGATGATGATTTTGATGTTGTAAGCTATGCAGACTAAAACAGATTAAGAAGCAGGACTGGCCATCCATTTCTGAAATAACAGGCTCTTGAAAACCCTGTGAACATTGTTGGATATAGTGCCAGATGATGAGCCCGTCAAGTTGAAGGGCACTCAGAAATGACAGTGGATTCAAACATAGCCAAAATCCTGAGGATGGAGGATAGGTTCCCTATGCACTGTAGTCAACTCTTCAGCACCAAACAAGAAATAGGGTAAAGCTAACTCAAAATGCCTCTGTTGGAATCCGCAAGCAACTCTGTAGGTAAAAGATGGACAGTGTCGTCTTGTGCTATGTATAGCCTCAGAAGAAATTATTTATTTCTTTTTAATGGTTCCTTATTCTTGACTGAATTTAAAAAAATGCTTTGCTAAGCCTATACCCTTGTTTTGGTTCAGATGTTTTCTGATGCTTTCACAATAGTTTTTCAGTTTGTTTATAAATTACTTCTAAAAAATATATACATAAAGTGCTATATAGCAAAAAATAATAGTTCCTTGCTGGTAACTTCCATTCTTTATGTTTTTTTTATTTTACTTTTATGTTCCCAGTTTATGCTGTGTCTTGATGTTATCTTAGGCATCTTGCAATGATTACTTGTTATAGTATTGACAATATTTTGCCTTTTTCATACTCACACTGCTGCATGTAGCTCTTCCTTAAATTTCAGAATTACATTTTTATTGTTATTGTTGATTGCCTTTGAGTTGAGCATGACTCACAGCAACCCTATGAACAAAAGGCCTGAAGCCCCTCTACAACTATCGAAATATAGAGTTCATGAGTTTCCGGAGGCATGTTGTTTAGGAAGTGATGCCACTCCTGCTTTTAAACATTTTCATTATGTTTGTATAAATATCCTTTACCCTTTAGTCAGATAGTTCATTAGTGTGGTAATGATTGATATTATTTTTTAAATTTCATATTGGTTTGCTTACAAAGTTCGTATACATTGTGTTGCACACTATTCTTCACTCACATTGTGTGTCATACAATCATTCGCATGCATTGTGTTTTATAAACTTAATCACCATTGGACCTTGCCTATCATTACCCTGTCTTTTCAGGTTCCCTCCAGATCTTTCCCATATCCTTCACCCCTTCCCTCCATCCACCAAATTGTGCAACCCTATGGTTTTGTCCCTGCCCATCCTAAACCTCCTCCCACCCTTTGCCCTCTTTGGTCCCATATATGTTTTACTAGTTATCCTTCTATTTTTACAATAATGGTTTGAGGTGTTATTTGTGTTTATGAGACTGAGCTCACTGAGCATAATGCTGTCTAGTCTTTCTGAAGTTATGTAGTGTTTTTCAAAATTGTTGCTCCTGAGTGCTGCGTAACTTTCTATAGTATGAATGTACCACAGTTTCTCAGTCCATTCAGTTGTGGTCAGACGTTTGGGCTATTACCATGTTCTTGCACTGGTAACACAGCTGTGAACATTGGTGTAGAGATCTCCGTTTGTGTCTCAGTTCTAATTTCCATGGCTATATTCCTAGTAGTAGAATAGCTGGGTCATAACGATTTCTGATTTCAACTTTTTGAGGAATCGCTAAACTGCCTTCCAGAGTGATTGTACCTTTTTATAGTCCCATCAAGAGTATTTGAGACATGAGCAAATGTAGAACACTTGAACAGACCTATTAAAAAAGAAGAAATTGAGCAGGTCATAAAAAGACTCCCACAAAAAATGTCCTGGACTAGATGGCTTCATGGCTGCATTCTACCAAACATTCAGAGAAGATTTATCACTAACTGTACTTAAATTATTTTAAAAAGTGGAAAAAGAAAGAATTCTCCCAATGGCATTCAGTGAAGCAAGCATAATCCAAATGCCAAAACCAGGCAAAGATATTACCTGAAAAGAAAATTATAGATCTCTCATGAACATAGATGCAAAAATCCTAGCCAGTAGAATTCAAAAGCATATTAAAAAAATAATTCATCATGACCAAGAGAGACTCATAACAGGTATGCATGGATGGTTCAACTTAAGAAAAACAATATAATTCACTACTTTAACAGAGCAAATTACACGAACCATATGATCCTAGCAATTCATGCAGAAAAGGCATTTGACAAAATCCAGCACCCCTTCCTGACACACCTTCCTGATTAGTGATCCTATCATACAGCATTTTGGCTTTCCTGTAGTTGGGGATTTCATTTTTATGTTATTTTTAACTTAACCTCTAGCCAGTTCTTCCCATATCATCTAGC